ACTTTCAAGAGTTTCATATCAATGTATCAATTAAAACATAATCAACAGAAAATTGGTAGGATATCAACACCACTGAATCTACAGAAAGAAACCAGAAAAAACTCTGGTTTTATTAGTCCATGAAATTCAGCAATTATTATAATAATAAAAACCTAAGGGAATACAAGAGAAGGAGGTTGTGGTTCTTAGTAAGATAGCATTGAAACGTATTTCCCATGCAATAATAATACAAACTAGTAACATAATACTTCTATGCATATAAACATTATACTTTAATAAAATACACATATTAAAAAGCACTCAAAGATAGTTCAAACAGAGCTATAAAGAACAACAAAGGCAATCATTACCTGTATCAGTGAATTATACCAGGAGAGTGGAAGATCAAATACTCTTAAAGCTGCTTTCTTCAGAGGAAAACGTGTCTCGTTAGCCACGTCTTCTGACATTGCACCTTCTTTCCTATATCATCATCTACTGATGCTAAGTCAGGATCATATTATTCGGGTTAGGCAATCTGCCAGAGACAAATATTGGACTAGCTTTGAGACATTCCTTCAGTGGTTTAATTTCAATCTAAAGGTACCACCCAAAAAAACCTGCATGCAGTAATACACCATGAATGTTGCAGAGAGTACAATGTTTGAGCTTTTCAGTAAAGATTAATTCTAGCTGCCTTTCTATAGCTACAAGCCCAGGAATAAGCTTCATTTAACTTAATGGAATTCTGAGTAAATTAAAGTAAGTAAATCAACAGTTAAAATTTGAGGAGCAAAATTGCTCAGTCACAGAAGGAGATTATTCTTAAAAATAGCATATAATTTCGGATATGCTCCTTATCAACTAGAAATATTCATGAGCTTGTAATGTATTTTTTAACTGCCAAAGCAGCTTCCCATAAAGATTTTAATTAGCCTCAAGACACAAAAATATATTAGACCAAATAATATTGCTGCACAGCCAAGATATACATGCATTAACTTTCCTTGATGTTGTTGGACTGCTAAATCTCTGATTTATTTGCCAGGAAATACAACTCCTAAACTCCAAATGAACATTTAGAATTAACAGGAAATTTAGCTCATCACTTCTACAACTATATTGAAAAGCATGAGTTTTTTTTAATAAATGGATGAGAGAGGAAGCGCAAAGAATCTTATAAGACTTCATTTCTTATTTCAAAGAGCTGTATAATTATATCCCCACGGGTGAGCAGAAGTATCCCTTGAGTCCAGGGTGATAAACAAGATAATGGATGCTTAGGATGATGTAAATATGAAATTGTGGCCATGGATGACAGGACCTTATAATTTTCTAAAAATCCAGTATATTGACCACAATATCTACATCATCTGCTAGACTGAAGACTTCCCTGTCCTGTTTGGGTGAGATGGGTAGCTCTTCTTATACAGAGGAAATCGATCTTTTGCCTTTGCTTAAAAAAAAGCATCATGAACTGATTAAGTTGGAAGGACTTCTGCCAGTTACCTCTGCAGGTACGTCAGCCAGCTCAGCTTTAGACTTTAGATTGTTTCTCCGTTGCACCAGTCCTTGCTCTTGCTAGCGGTTTCTGATGGAGCTGTCAGGAGGAGGAAGATGCAGGCAGAGAGAAAACCATAGAGATAGAAATGTAGAGCAACATGACTCCTGGATAAGAATTTGATTAGTAGTCTTTATAAATATCCAATATTGGCTGTACAAGACCTAACACATCATACTTGTGTTAAAAGGGATTGCATGAGGAGATGGTGACATGAATTCAGGGAAATCTAATTGGATTTAATCTTGTCTCAATCTGAGGTATGTTTTGCAAGAGATAGTTATCTTAAAGAATATATACAAGTTAGATTGGAACAAAATAGAGGCTGTTATGTTGTGAGGCTGCTTCAGAAGAAGAATGATTCATTACTGTTTTGCTCCATGACATAGGAGTAAGACAGCCACCTCAGGAATGGAGCTTAAATGCTTTAAAAAAAAGCTGTTTGTCATTACATTGATTAAGATAAAATTCTCAACACCTGGAATTTCAGAATCAATATATTTTTATTACTATTACTACAATATTATTGCTTTTGTATCATTGCCTTTATTATTATTGCCATCATTATTACCATTTTGGAGAACTCCATTCTGTCCTGAAGAAGACATTGAGATAGAGACAGAGGGCGAAGAGTTGTGGTTAACTTAAGAGTTTGGCACTTCCTTTTCCAGACCAGAGCCAATTAGATGTAGCACATTGAATTTGGGTTTTTCTTTTGCATTTCTTTCTTCCTCATAGGAGACCTTAAGATCCCTCATTTGAGATTCCTTTGGGTTGAAACTTCATTTTCTTAATCAAAATAAACTTTAGGCCTGATCATAGCTCTGAGTTAAGTTGGGCTTTCATCATTGATATATGTATCAATTGTTACTTATAGAGATTCTTGATTTTAGTGAAGGAGTCGCAAAAATGTAGGGTATAAGGTAACTTCAGGATGGGCACATTCACATATTATCTTCTTTCACATTGCTACACTCATAGAACATAGAATAACAGGGATATTGGAAGTCTTCTAGTCCAATCCTCTACTTGAGCAGAAGATTCTATACCATTCTTAATAAATAGTTGTCCAATCTTTTTTTGAAAATCTCCATGAAGGAGCACCTGCAACTTCTGGAGGAAAGGCATTCCACTGATTAATTGTCCTCACTGTCAGGAAATTTCTCAATTCTAGGTTAGATCTCCTTTTAATAATCTTCCACCCATTACTTCTTGACCTATCTTCAAGTGCTTTGGAAAAAAAATGTTGACCCCCTCTTCTCTGCGACAGCCCCTCAAGTTTTAGAAAATTAGTCCATCTTTTCGTTCGACTAGACATAATTAGTTCCCACAACTTTTCATTATATGGCTTAGCCCCCAGGCCCCTTATCATCTCTGTAGCTCTTCTCTAGTCTAGAAAAAGTCTCAGCATCGTTTTGTGTCATTTAGCAGAATTGGATGCAGTATTCCAAGTGTGGTCTTATCAGTGCAGTATAAAGTGGTACTACCACTTCATCTGACTTTGATATAGGTAGCCCTTGACTTACAACCACAATTGAGCCCAAAATTTATGTTGTTAAGTGAGGCCTTTGTTAAGTGAATTTTGACCCATTTTACAACTTTCTTGCCACAGTTCTTAAGTGAATCACTGCAGTTGTTAAATTAGTAACAGGGCTGTTAAATGCATCCCCCATTGACTTTGTTTGGCAGAAGGTTGCCAAATGACCTGGGACATTGCAACCATCATAAATATGAGTCAGTTGTCAAGAACCTGAATTTTGATGCTGAAATGGTCATACATGTGAAAAATTGTTATTTTTTCAGTACCATTGTAACTTCAAAAGGTCATTAAATGAACTGTTGTACATTGATGTCTACCTGTACTATCCTTCTGTTGATGCAACAACTTGTACATGACCCTTTTTGGTTACTATTGCCTACATGGTTTTTCTTAAATTTAATCCATTCGGCATTTCTGTTTTTCTACCAACATCATTAAGTTGAAGTTATATTTGCGGAATTTGCCAATTTCAATTTTATACATTTTAAATCAGTTTTATCTCTACTGAACACAGTAGAGTTTGTGTTTTGGATTACCGAATTCTGGTTCTAAAAACTAGTAACCACTAAATGGTAGAAAAGATGTGGAAAGCATTCTTTATTGTCCTATGGTCATCCAGAATCTTGCATTTCATATGAAGTAACCCTTGCCACTGTGCCTTGCAACTCCATGTACCTTGCTTGCTGCTGTTTTCTTCTCTTCTTTCCTTCCACCATTTCCATTGTTAAAGCCTTCTCCAATTCTTTGCATGTGTCCAGAGCATGAAAATTTCAGCCTGGAGGTTTCTTTTTCAAGTAGGAACTTTGAGTTGATTTATTTGACGATCCATTTGTTTCTTGGCTATCCTTGGTATTTTCAGAAATCTTCTCCAGCACCAAAGTTCAAAAGCTTCAATACTCTTCCTGTCCTGCTTCTTCAAAGTACAACTTTTGCTTCCTTAGAATATCACAGGGATTATTGTGACTTGAACATTTCTGACTGTTATAAATACAGCATCTGAATATCTTTTCAAGGACTTGATGGCTATTCTGCCAAGGGATACCTACACTATAATGATAGGGGATGTTTAATTTAGGTTGAATTATGTATTGGATTCCCTTTGTCAAGAACTGTTCAAAAAGATGGCCCTAAGTCTGCATTAAGAAAATTTATTAAAATTAAAAATAACTGTTTCCATATTAGGAAACTTATATGCAACTGCATTGAGTATTAGTGATCATGCTTGCATAAGAATGAAGTCCCATTGTAGTTCAATGGATATTCATCTCAGATTAGTTGAGAACTGTAGTTTAAGTTAAGAATTGTAGTTTAAGTCTTAAAATTACAGTGTAGTTTTAAAAGTCAATATTACAAATTAGAAGTGCTCCGCTTATTTGCAATCAGTTATTATGGAGAAATGGCACAAGTGTAATCAGAGTAAGATCGCAGCAAACCCACTTGCTCCAAATAATCTGACGACCGCTAGACGGTAGAAAAGACCTCCAGAAAACTCTAACTCGATCCTGCCTTCTTGTGGTATCCGGATTTTGCAGTCCAGATCCGGTAACGCTATTTCTTTTTAATAGGAAATAGAGGCTAACCACGCACCACGGTAGGTTAACTTTGGGATAGCAGCCCAAACCGTGAAGACATCCTGGAGGATCTTGGTTCTTAATTTTTCTATATCTATGAGATAGCATTTCGCTGAAGGAAAACACAGGCAGAAACGTGTTTCCGAGATCAAAGGAAATGAACGAATAAAAAGCAAGGCTCTCTACGTAAACTTCTCTTAGAACCGGCCGGTTGAAAGGCCGGCCTTTCGAAATTGGGTTCCTCCTCTTCCTCCTCCTCCTTTCCTGGCACAAGGGATCTAACGAGCCCTACCGTCAGCTTTATACGCAGGCGCGCTCCTACCTGCGTGCTTGTCACCTCCAGAACGGACGGCGCGCCGGCTGAGGAATTCCATCGTCGCCATCTTTGCTTTGGGCACGCTCGCCTTGTACTCCAAGCCACCTCCAACCCCCAGGAAAGCCAGCGACGCCATCTTTGTTGCGGGGATCTGGAGAGCTGAGGAGACGCCGGCGTTCGGGAACCCGCTGGAAAAAAAATAAGGAGGGGAAAAGAGAAGAAAACGGAGGCGTCTCCTCGTCTTTTTCTCTCCTCCAGCGCTCTGGAGTTCCCGGACTAGCCTTAGGATATAGGAGGAGGAGGAGGAGGACGAAGAAGGGAAAGAGCGATGGCTTTGAGATGGAGAGATCGTTAAGGATGTGAGGAAAATCTTGAGGTTTTCGGATGAAATTCCACTCCTTGCCCTCAGGACCTTGAAGGGCGTATTCAGGGGACGAGATTACCTACTGCCGCCGGTAAGAAGCCCGTTTTCTTCCTTCAGAAACCAGTTTTAGGCTCTTCTCAGCTTTGTCTCTCTTTCTCTGAACCGTAGCTCGAGTCTGGCATCTAGTTTAGGATCGCTTTTTTAGATGTAAAATGTACGAGGCCGGTCCTTTTGAAGCCGAATACAGCCTCTGAACATGTGCAGAGTCCCTTCCTGAATGAAGCCTATGCGTCTCTAAAGAGAACGAGACTTTTCCTTGGGGGAAACATTCCCCCTTGGGTCCAAATATTTTTTTAAGTTTTAAAAAATAAATCCTGAAGGACAGATGCCAGCCCGCCTTAGATCCAGAGATACATTAGATTATTATTATTATTATTATTATTATTATTATTATTATTATTATTAT